CAGGTAGGTGGTGAACCTGCACAAGGTCAGTGTTTGTGGAGCTGAGAAGTCAGCTACCAGCAGCTACCCAAGCACATGGACCTCAGTCTCCTACCCTTCACTCCCTAGACAGTGTGTACCTGGCATGGACAGGTGCAGCAAAGGCAGAGCTGCTGGGGTGACCACAGTGGGGGCACAGGTGTCCTGTGGTTCCAGGCAGTCACACAGATCACATTACATCACTGAGCTTTGCATGTTTGGTCAGAATGTGTAGATTCAGCCCAAACAAATGTTTTGGGGACTGAAGCTCTGCTGGGACATGCAGGGAGTTGCAACAGATTCCAAGTCCTCTCCCAAGCCCAGGGGTGGTCTGGGGGTTGGCTCTGAGCCTGCCTGTGGTACAGAAGCTGCTGCAGCCATCAGCAGCTGGTGAGTGCCCTGGCTGTGGCACAGACTGGCTTCCTGCTTGCCCTCACCTGTGCAGGTAAAAGTGAAGCTGCTCATGTGGGGAGGCTGCAGAGCTGCTGCACACCAAGGCTGTCCTGTCAGCCTTCTGCAGCCTGGGAGGCTGAAGGGTGTGGAGATAAGGTTTGGGCTGGGAGGTTGGGTGGTGTTTCTACCGAAACTGAACTGTGTGACAAGGTGAAGGTGCACAAGCACCACACTCACTTCCAGGCAGAATGCTTCACCTCCCACCTGAGCAGGGATGGGTAGCCCAGGTAACATCTTCATTGCATTTGGGAGTGCTGATGGGAACAGGTGTTGCAAGGAAACTCATAGGAGAAAGTATGGTGTGTGTGCAGAGGGGTAGGTGCAAACAGCAGGAGCTGTAGTTTAAAACTGTAAGTTGTGAGGGTGCAGGGTGTGGCCCTGGCTGGTGCTGGTGTGTGTCACAGCCTTATCACCACAGACAGAGGTGACATGTGGCTGCCTCTCTCTGCTGGTTCCCAGGGGGGAGCACTGTACTGGGTGTCTGTGCCAGGGAGGACTGCCACGCTCTGCTCAGGGACCAGCCCTGGCAGAGATGAGGATGCCTGGAAGTTCCCTCAAAGGGCAATAAAGGATTGCAATCCAACTGTGCATCGACGTGTACCTGTGCAAACACATTCACGGAAGCACACGTTGCTCTGAGCCCTGTCAGCCTCCTGTGCTGTCACTGCTGCGTTCCATCCTCTCCCTCTGTGCTTCACAGCCCTCCCTCTCCCCGAGGGGAGCGGCTCCAACCCTCCCCGTCTTCCCAGCGCGGCGAAGTGACACCCGCTGAGCGTCTCTTTAAGAGCACGTCTGGCTGGGATCCCTGACCCGCCTCTGGGCACAGCGTCACCAGCTCTTCCTCCTCTGCACAGCTGAGTTTCTGTTTCCCTGGCTTCTTTCCCCTATCCCCAGCACAGACAGGATGGCATCACACGTCTCGCAGAAGCTGGAGGAGAAGCTGGTGTGCTCTATCTGCCTGGAGCTGTTCAGGGTGCCTGTTACCTTACCCTGCGGCCACAACTTCTGCAAACGCTGCATCAGCGACCACTGGCGCAAAGAAGAGCAGGCGCCCGTCGGGGCAGAGACAGGCTACACATGCCCCGAGTGCCGCAGTTTTGCGGTGCCCGGAGCTGGAGAAGAATGTCACCCTGTACAGCGTGGTGGAGCTGGCACGGGACGGCGAGGTGCAGGGCTGGGGCGCAGGGAGGTGCGAGGTGGTCCCCGGCGAGCTGTGCCCGCAGCACGGGCGCCCACTGGAGCTGTACTGCGAGGACGAGCGGCGCTGCA